GAGTACTAAATTTAATTGTATAAATTCATGCAACTAAACTAGGAAGTGCACAAAATGGAGTTCACGCTTGTGCTACCTTATCTCCCTTTTTTAAAGTTACATGTTTTACAGTAGCTTTTCTGCCTCTGCAAACCTTTGGAAGGCCTCCTTCTCTTTTCCTCACAATCTAGAGTAGCAGCTGAAAGACAATAAAGCCCTGTTCTGATTATTGTTGGTTGATTGCAAGTGGAAAAAAAAAAAAAAAAACAACAAAGTGAATGTTCATCAGCTTCACAATTCTGCCACACTGCAGAATCAACTATAAGCAATGCCCCTTTGTCCTGAAAGCACAGTAAAAATATAGTAGGCAAGGTGAGATGCTTTAAAAACACCTTGTCTAAAGAACTTGAGGAGGTGCTGCAGGTCATCAGTTTTCTTCTTTAACATTCACACTTAAGACTTATCTTACTGACCTGTGTAATCCTGGTGTTATCTGAACTGCACAGCAATTAATGTACCACAACATAAGAGCTGTTAGCATTAGAAAGATATCAGAGTGAATAAATGGAAATGTTGTAAGCCAGTCGTTTTCATTTTGAGGGTCTGCAATACGATCAGTGGTCTCTGGTTTGCTGTTGGGTTTTGTTCTGTTTTTTCTTATGATATGACTGCAATGTGTGCTAGATTTTGCTCTATCTCCCCACGTACACAACTGAACTCATTACTCAGATGTGTTTTTTTTATGGCTGCACAACCAAATGCTACAAGAAGTGACCTCAGTGGTTCAGTAGGTACTATAGCAACAGAAACTCCGTACACTGACACACTGTTAAACTCCAATGCCTGTTCTGTCAGATAAAAGGATAAAATGAAGGGCTACTTACTACTGTCATGACGTTTTTTAAAATATTCTGTACTAGGTGTGGTTTTGAACAGGTCAGTAGTGTGCTTGATGAAGGCACCTGCAGCTTTCCTGTCCATTCATAACCCTAAACAATTGACTTTGCTGCTGAGAACCTAGAGCAAAGATGACAAACTTGCTGATTCATCACACGCCTGTTGTCAAATGTGTTTAAAACATCAGTTGCAGATCATGTCAGCTAAATTTCCATGGGCATCAAACTTGGCCTCAATGGCAACTGCTTGCAGTACTCGATGTCGATGACCCAAGGCAGAGTAAAACAGAGGGATGGCCACACCATCAGTGTATGCACAACACCCGAAACCACCAGTTACTGGGAGCTCAGTCCTCCTTCAAATGCATGCATGCGTGGATGTATGTCAGTCCTGTCATTTGTTCCTGAAGGTGAGACCCCAAAGTCACTCAAATGAGGACTTAAGAGCTGTTCAGTCAAACTAGTCATCTGACCTAGAAGCTGGGATCAGATAATAATGCTTAATGAACATATTAATTCAATGGCAAGCAGGTGCTTGGCAAGTTGCCACATTACTTATCACTGTGGGTTGTGCCTTGCTGTTCTCTCACACTGTCTGGAAAAATACTTTTAAAATGCTACATGCTCTCTGAATGCAGTCGGGTAAATTGATACTGTTGTCCACTTGCATTTGGTAAATGTTAAGGTTGTATACACTCCTCCCATTTAAAACCAAGAACATCCAAAGTACCTAACTTCACTGCAACAGATCCATGTGACTTAAAAACAATACTGGTAAATATGCTGATTAACCACTGAACAGAAATTAAGATAGGTCTTAATGTTTTTCGTTCTTCATAAAATATTCTGAATGGTCTGCAAGGGATTATGTGTCCCTCTGAAAGAACTGCCAATAGATTGGTAGTTTCAAAGAACAGAGTAACTTCAATTTGATTGAGATATCCTCAGCTGAAAGGAGTATATTAAAGCTTGTGTCGTTTTTAAGTGGAAAAGCCAGTTTCAGTCCTCTGAAAAATACACGTGGGTAATTTTTTTTTTTACTGGAGAGCTCCATGTCAGTAATGCAACTATGCATGCATGGACTTCAATAGCACTTGGTCATCAGCCATTAGAGGCACAGAATCATCTACCACACTGTAGTACTTACAAGAATAATCAGAAAGAAAAATAACCCTACAAAGCAAACTGCTCCCCTTGCCTGCCCTTTCTGCCAACAAACCAGGAAGGACCAGGAAGAGGTAATACTGGTATAATGAGCCAATACTATGTAATTACAACAGGACTTACAATAGACTCCCACTAGTGACCATCAGTAAACAGGCATTAATTTGATCCATTAGGAAAAAAACAGAATGGCAGGTACCGTTGCTTTGCCCTTTACACAGAGGAGTGAAGAGTAAGATGCAAGTCACCTTGACTACCCCACGGAGGCACTAGTGGCACAACCATGGCAACGCAGGGGGCAGGCCAGGCCAGGCCTTCCAACCCTATGAGTCACAACAGTTACTGTGGAGAAAGTGCCAAGGTCAGATCCCACTGACACCTCTTCAGCATTCTGTTGGTTTGACGTTCCCTATTTTCGGCCTTAAACTGATGTGTGGCATTTCTGAACATTTAGTCTGCTGCTTTGCTTCATTCAGTGACCACTGAAATGAACCCTGAGCATCAGATAACCAGAACTCTTCACTGATAGAGCCAAGTATCTGGTTATCAATGAGAGCGAATAAAAAGAACTGTTGTACACCTCCAGAGGTTCTTCTGGATTCTCGTTTCCATCTGCTACACATCAACATTTTTGTCTGTGGATTAGAAAACATTGGTGCTTTTCATGAACAGAATCTGTCATTCTCCCAAGCTGCAAAAGATAACTTGCAACACTCCAAATTACAAATTTTCTGCTCTTACCAGTCTGAAAAAGGAAGAGAGATGCTGCTGATGAATTCATGAACGAGTCAAGAAAACAGTAGGCCTTTATTAAAAAAATGCGTGGGTAATGCAGGTTGCCAACAGTGCCATGGCCAGTGCCACTCCACAACTCACTGGGCAGTGAGCTGCTGCCCCGTTCAGAGCCCGACCCGAGCTATGAGACGCTCCCACATCGGGGCAGCTGGGGCCACAGAGCAGAAGACAGTCCTGGGTTGTGGACACAGGGCTGGTGGTTTGAAGCATAGGATAGAAGAGAGGTTAGATCTTGGCTTGAGGGTAAGAAGAGGATGGAGACATGGCACAGAACTAGCTGCCACAGCTGTAGCAACTATTGATTGCACCCATAACAAGAACTTGACATCACAAGAATTATCATCGACAAATGTTTCTATACGTGTGTCAAACGTGCTCTGATCAACAGCAGTGAAAGATGAAAAATGAAGAGAATAGCATAATTTGGAATAAATTCTAAACAACAACAAAAAGCCCTGTAAAACTATTTAGGATCTTAATGTAACAGTTTTTGTTGTAAAATAAATACAGCGAGTGAAATGGCACTGCATTAATTTCAATTTCACTGATAAGGACCTAATCTTTCATATGGCCTCTCCTAAATTAAAAAAAAAGAAATCTAAGCTTTCAAAATGTGTTCAAACAACTTCTCGAACTTTCTCCATGTCCATATAAATAAAATTTATACTATTTATTCCCAACAATCACATATTAAAGAGGTTTTACATTTATTAGGTATTTTTATTGCAACTTTTTTAACAAGACATGTATGTATTCAGAAAAACTGGACCCAGTGTATCGGACTGGGGTTTTTTTGTAGTTATAATATACTCAATATTTCTATAAATTCAGGTATTTTCATTATGGAGTTTTTTATAAAAGTGTATCTGCTTGAAATCACTATGCAGCTTTCCAAAGCACCATACCATGTAGTGCAAGAAATTTTCACTGATTTCTACGCCTATTTTTAACAGACTACTTCAAGGTAGGGAACTCCCTGTCTGGAAGCATTTTGCATTTGATTAAAACCCTATAAACTTCAAGTAACTTTCCCAAGGCAACTCTGTCTCATACTTATGTGAAGATTTTTGGCCTAAGTTGTTTTGGCATCTGCATCTAACAGCCTCTTCAAATTTTCTATAATTTGTGGATTTATTATACAAGCATAAAGTGGCAAGATTTATTATTAAAATAATACCTGAAAGGAGGTTGTAGTGAGGTGGAGGTTGGTCTCTCCTCCCAAATATCAAGTGACAGGACAAGAGGAAACAGCCTCGAGTTGTGCCAGGGGAAAATTTCTTTACTGAAAGGGTTGTCAAGCACCAGAACAGGCTGCCCAGGGAGGTGGTGGAGTCACCATCCCTGGAGGTATTTAAAAGACATGTAGGTGAGGTGCTGAGGGACATGGTTTAGTGCTGGGCTGGCAGGGTTAGGTTAGTGGCTGGACTTAATGATCTGAAAGGTCTTTTCCAACTGAAACAATTCTATGATTCTATTTAATGTGGTGTTTTAAAGCAATTTATTTCATCACTCCGTTTTTAGTCCACGTGACCACTTACACCGAAGTCAGTTGCATTACTAATTAAAACATTCAGTAGCTATGCATATACAGGTCACTCAGTCTTTACACTTTCAGTGGATGTGCAATATTACATACACAAACTTGACAGACGCTTTAATTATGCATTTTACAGCACAGAATTAACAGGTTATTAAAGCCTGCATGTACTAGCTACAGTGCTTAATGGAGTATCAGTCACAGTATTTTGAATTTTAGCGTAACAAAACATTTATTCCATGGTAGGAGTTTGAATATGAAAATCCTATTTGCTCTTACAATAGTTTCTGCAAAAAGCCACATAACGCTGGCCCTGATAAACATTCATGCCTATAAAATATATACATTACTGGTAGAATTTTAATAGAGTGCACAGCAATTCTTTCGCATATCTTAAAACCTGTACCAAAAAATATAAATTTTCCATAAAATCAGAAAATATCTTAAAATGTTCTGTGATAAATCTAGAAAAAGAGAAGGAATCAATTTTTAAAAGTTAAATTCCGCTCTAACATACACAACTTCAATTTTAAATCAATGCATGACATTTGTACAGCTGACAGAGTTGTACAGAATCTGACTCTGTCCGCAAGGTTAAAATGCAAAGGTTATGGAACGTGTGGAGATTCTTACTTTAGGAGTTTAACTTTGTCCTTTAAAACTTTAAATTTGGGATTGTTATTCACTTTCTTATTAAATATGACTAGAATATCCTCTTCTGATTTGTGACCTTCACCAGCTACTGTGTAATACTGAGCTATAACCTGCACAAAGACAGAGGAATGGTTTTGAGTTAGTAAAGATGATTCCACTTAAAGCAACAATACATTCACATTACTGTATTAAAAGTAGCATGGAATCTATTGTGCTATTATTCCTTTGCAGAATTAGCACCAAATTTCTTCTGTAGTCCAGTAAGCACTAGAGCATGTCCTTCAACTGACATGCTGTCAAATGATATTCTGTCAAATAATGTCAAACTTTTTTGTTTACATGGGGCACCATTTTATGAATTTAAATGCTACAGGAAGAAATTCACAAAATCGAAGGAGATTAAAAAAAAAACATGTTGCACAGTACCTTTTTTCTTAGTTTTTTAATTGAAATTTCATTGTCTGGAGCCTGTTTCAGAACAGCTTTGATGGTCCCCTTCCAGTTGAATTTACCTAGAAAATAATGAGGTGTAAAACATCATTAGTAGAATTAGGTATTTCCAGGTCATCTTCTCTAGGAGGAACCAGCCTACAATCTCCCAATTTTGGAAGAAGTTCAGCTGCCACAACAGTTGCTATCTTACTGACCCTACAACAGCAGGATGTCTTAAGCATCAAGTCAGGTAGGCTGTTTCTGAAGATTTTAATAGGATAAATGTGAAGAACCAACACAGTACTTGAACAACTAGGGTCAGGACTGCTTTGACTTCTCTTCCGTGCTTTAGCTATTAAGCAGCAACTCTTATATCATACAGGAAGAGCTGGGAGGATCCTGCCTACTCCTTCTTAGAGCACAGGTAGTCGAAGGCACACAGTACCCACTTCAGAGGTCATTAATTGGTAGTTTCCAAATAAACCATCTGTGTGTTTAAGTACAGACATTTCCTAACAGTAAGTGTGTTGGATCATAGGCATAAGCAGGTTTATCTAAGACTAAACTAAGGTCCAACCCAGCTGAAGTCCAATGGGGCCCAAGAGAGACAAAGAAAGCTATTCCCCTTTTCCTCTATGTTGGCTGATGAGCACAGCAGCAGGGAAGAGACCTGCTCTGATGAAACAACCATGCCAAATTCCTCACTGCCCAGTGAAGGCAAGCATAGCCACAGGCTGTCAGCACAGCAGAATCAACAAGTCAGAGAAGTAATTCAGCATCAGGTGTTAAGTGTGGCACAGGCTACTTACTCTGGAACAGACATGTATGCTGTATATACATACCTCTGTGTATACTGAGGCACAATTTATTTCATGGCTCGCTGCAAAAGCACCATATTTGTATTCTGCGCTAGGTCTTTTCAGAATAGTTCTGTATCGACCTAAACTCCGTCTTTAAGAATACCTTTAGCTGTTTCCACATTTTCTTCATTGCCATTGGCGTTTTCTGCTTCCATATCTTCTGAAATGTCTTCAGTTTTCATTCTCTTTGTTGTGATGTGAGGTTCCTCTACCGATGAAACTGGATAAACACACACACACACACACACACACACACACAAAAATGATAAAACTCGAAAAGTTCTGCCATGCCTTAAAAGTTTCTGTTCTTGTAACATTGAGTTTATATTTGGTAAGAAGTTCAGATCTTGTAAAACGATTGTGCAACCACAGTGTTAAAAAATAAGCTAATTTGTATATGTAACTTACTACTTAAAAATAAAAGTCTGCTTAGGTAGATTGTTGAGCTTCAAGGTATTAAGAAAAAGCATCTGGAAAACAAGAATAAAAGGTGTAAATGGATACCTTCTGCATGTTTATGTTTCCGTTTCTTTACGTTTATTTCCTTTTCTATTTCCCTCTGATGGCCATTTCCATTTATTTCAGATTCATCCTCCAAGCTCTCCTCTCCCTTTTTGGACTTTTTACTCTTTTTTACTTTGGACTGGTTTTCTAATTTCAAGTCTTTTTTCTCCTTCTTTTTGCTCTTCTGTCTCTCTTCTTTTCGTTCTCTCTTATTCTTTTTCCTCTCAATTTTATCATCTGTAATTCCATTTTCTTCTGCCACTGTTTTTTCTCGAGTTTCTGCAGCCTGCTGCTCTTCTTTCTGTTGTGGTTTGTTTTCTTCTTTTTCACTTGAAATCTTTTGTTGAAAGACAGATTATTACAATTTTTACATGCTTTTTTGACATTGCAGCTTTCCTCTACTACATGATTCATGAAGAACACTAATATCCTGAATTCAGTTAAACTGCTTACATCTGGTGACACCAGTTACCTGAGAAATAATACTAAATAGTGTGGATGATTCTTCTTATAACTTAACAGCCTAACCATGAATTATCTTAACATCACAGAAGAAATGTTGTAACATATATACTTTCTGTTTGAAATAATTATCTATGTGTTTTTTAACGTATTTGCTAAATGTAATTAAGTTAAAGCAGAGACAGCTCTTAAATTTATACAGACAAATACAGCATATTACAGCAAGATACAGAATATATTCCCAAATACATGGCCCTTGGGTAAGGGATGTAATCTTAACTTTGCCATCAAGTTCTCTGTCTTGGGATGTGCCTGGGACAACAAACTATTAGTGCCTGATGTCCGCAAAGGAACTGCTGCTTGGTTTACTTGTACTGTTCTCACCTTAACACATACCATTTTCCTTTAATGTTCTTGGGCTTAATAATTTTTTTTGTAGAAGAAATAATATATGAATGAACACTTCTATATTGAGATTAAACTTTAAAATTAATAATTACAAGTGAAATGCAATTACTAATGTGTTAATGTGGCTATTTCAATGAGAATACACATTTACACAACCAACTTAATACCAACGTGTTTTTGTAAAGAATAATATCAATTCAATTTGAACTCCACTTAAGAAATTCCTCTGAGTACATTGATTCCAACGTATCTATTATGAAGAATAATTTGAGATTTTAATGCACTCTTAATAGTGCATTGAAATGATCCAAGCAAGGAAGTTGTGTTGCATCTTTAATGCTATATTCTGTAGAAAATGGAAACTGTTTGCTTGTGTTTAAATAAAATAATTGTTCAAATTCAGCATTTATTTTTTTTAAATATCAGTTTAAATCAAGAGGGAACTGCTTATGACTTTACTGAACTTGTATTGACTCAGAATTAATGTTCCAGTAAGACAATGTACTTGAAATTTGGTGCCTAGAGTTTGTTCTGTTCATATCCTTTAAAAAAAAAAAAAAAAAAGGTATTAGTTTCCTTCCTGGCTCTTGCATTTGGATTCTTCAGAAAAACTACAAATAGATTTAACTGGAATCATCAAATCAGGAATGTGAAGCATTATCAACAAGGGATTAGTATCAAAGCTATGCCTGCGCTCTTCCTCAAGAAGAGCTGGGGGGTGTGTGGAGACCAACTTCACATCACAGAGAAGTAAACTTCTGTAACAGCTTTCTAGTACAAGTAATAGACTTAAACAAACAACCAAAACAACATCCTACCAAAATGTGCCAAGATAGTGCTGAAATAGCAAAGAATTAGACACTGAGAAAAAAGGTCACTGTGAGTCCATGATTTGGACACAGAAGTGGGAAGAATTTGTACCACAAACTGGAGGATCTCATCTCTTCTGTTTCCACTAATACAATAGGCAAACTAGGTGCTGTTAATTTCCCACTCCAATACACATAAATTTGAGGCCAATAAAGTTCTGAAAAGATGTTGTTTTATTCCTTCTTAGTGTGTGATAAAAGACTGGAACCAAAGATAACAATAGTGGTTTCCTCTTATATTAATAGCAAAGAATAAAGTTAAATTAGTCTTCTGATTATCATGTCAAAATAGTGTCAGCATGTCCAATTTTTCAGTCAGCAACAGTATGTTCCACAAATGAGCAATTTAGTCTGGCAATACTACATTATAACATAACCCACAGTAACACGGGGAGGTAATATTTCCGCTAACATCTACAAAGGGAGTCTGAAAGGTTTTCCTTCCACCGTCTGTGACTGAATTTCTGTTGTATGACATTGTACCTCTAACAACTTACATTTCTGGTTGCTTCAGAGAAAATATCCCACACCTGGTCTTGCAAAGTGCTGTCAGTAATTCTCAAACTGTTCTTCATCCAATTCTGTGCCGGCAAAAAAAACAACAGTAACAAGAAATGTGCATCTCTGATTTTTTTCCTTGACTACCATATATGTGGGTTTCATTTTTATTTTTCATTTAAGAATCTGATCACTTCTGATTAAGATGTGGTTAGATGTTTACTTTCTATGAATATGTTAAACCTCCATGCTAAATTGTTTTGCATAACACCTGCATATCGTTAGGAGGCTACATCATGTCTCTCAACTGCCTCACCAGCAGTAAGAGAAGAGGTAAATTTACAGAAAAGATAAACCTCAAGCTTTTGCATACAGACAGTTATGTTAATGTCCTACGAAACCTTCTGACTGTTCTCATTGATTTGAAACATTGAGAATCTGACCTTATTTTTTCTTTGTGTACTGGACAGATGGTCATGCTCCTGAGTGGATACATTAGTTTATTATGGAAAAGTAAAATTTAAGCAAGTATCTCAATGCAAACATCTGAAAGTTGTTTGAGCTATTGCAGGAGTTCCTGCTGAAAATTAAAACAAAGCAGTAGATTTCTACTTATAATATGCTCACACTGTCAGCAAGAGATCAACTTTCAGAAATGTGGAATTTTAAGTAATACCTAATATAAAGATTTTTGCTTTGCAATGAAAATCCCAGGAAAGCTGCATTAGTAAATGGGAACAATGAACTGCAAAAACTTTTGATCTTCCACTGCAACATATCTTCGCAGAAAGAGAGGGTTCCTGACAATATCATTTTCCCCGCTTAGAACATTGATTTTGTAGAAGTGTTCTAACCTTCCGCTCACTAGCAGCAATTTCACTGCAGCTCTGTTCGAGTGCTTTGGAAACAATCATGACCTTCTCTCAGCCTCACAACTGAGGCACAGAACAAAGGAAAAATAAAACAGACCAAAACAGGCAAAATTGTCCTTAATTCTTTACTGATACGAAATGAAACCTTTGGGATTTCCTTGGCCTGTGATGCAAAGTTTAGTGAAGCACACAGTGTGGGAGGTTCTGTCAGAATACTGAGCAACAGGAAAACTCTCAGTGTCTTGCCTTTACCAAAGGGGGGGGGGGAAAAAAAAGGCACAAGAATAAAAAAACCTTTAAAAGTATGTCTAAGAATTTAGACATTCAATAGAAATTGCAAATAGAAAAAAATAAAGTTATTAAATAAAGAACAAGCCTACACATGGAGATTAAACTTGAATGGCGACTCTCTGGTTTGATAGCCAATTAAAATGGCACAGAGTCCTTTTAACCAAGGAGCTGCATTTTACAAACATTGCCTATTTGAAACACAGCTATTACACCATCTGTTTACCAGTGCCCCCAAAAGCAATTTGTCCCACCTTTGTAAAGAGTGACACTCCCCGAGAAAGTCTAATTTTAAGTTTACTACATGGATTACTGCAAATCTCTACTAGAACATACCTGAAACTTTGCTTTTTTTCTTGGAATATTATCAAAGACACGCATCTGCTCCAGAATGTTCCGCACTTTGGGGCTTATGTTTGGCTTCTTCATTACTTCGTGAATTTTCTGAATGAAGAAAACCATTATTAAGCAGCAACGAAGCATAATGAGCACAGGATACACACACGGTATGCACATCAAAACACTGGACAGAAATCACCCAGAACTCAGACCGTTTAAGCCGCTCAAAAGGATTCTTCAATAGACATTGTCAGAATACTGAGCAACAGGAAAACTCTCAAGATGTTATCTTTACTTTACCAATAAAAAAAAAAAAGCCACAGAAATAAGAATCCTTTAAATCCTTACAGTAAACTTTGGTTTTAGCCTAGATCATAAGATGCATCAAATTTATTGATATGAAAGTTTTTACCTATCTAGTAAACAGAGGCAAGCAGGGCTGCTCACCAAGGCTTTCTGGTGTACAAGCTACAACCTGTAATAAACCCATTTAAAAGTGAATTAACTGCATCACACGGGACTCTTGCAGCACGAAAAAGACCTGCATTGAGGAAAGCTATTGTCAACTGGTTGGTTTTTGCAAACTTCTGGAGTTAATTTTGAAAAATCCAGCTAACTTTGAGGCTGCAGCTTGACATATACATTTTGGCAGCAGTGCTAGCTTCAACAACCATTAGTCCCTGTAAGGCAGCTCAGGCACGCTCCTATGCTACAGGGCCTGGTGGCAGTTACCTGAGCGGCACTGCTGCTTGGAACAGGGGGAAAGGCTCTGAGCTCCCTCCCATTATTTAAAGATGTACCCTATGGCTACAATGGCATTAATCTGTTGACTCCAATGGTCTTATTCATACACCTTGAGTAGGCATGTAGCTTATTAGATTGTGTCCTGTACAAGACAGAAGTCAACAAGTCCATGGAAAAACGTAATCTAACTGATTAAGGGATTTTTAAAAATACGTTTGAGAGTACTTTCTAAAACCTTTCAAGGAAACTTAACAGCCGTAAGAGGGAAAATAAAGAGGATAAGAGGGTAAATAAAAAGGTAAGTAAAGAGGATGAATAACTACGTGAAGGGTAGGAGACATTTCCATACGTGTTCGAGCCTATGCTGTTCAACATATTTACTAAATACTGAAAAGAGGGCAGGAGAAGTTTCCAGATGATATGAAGCTATTCAGGATGAGGAGGACTATGAAGCATACCAGAAAGATCTTAAGAGAGTGAGTGGCTGGGGAATAAAAAGGTGAAATAAATTCAACACAAATTCATGTAAAGCAGCATGCACAGGAAAAGCAATCCTAACTTCACATCTAAAATGGCAGGCTTTAAGTTGAGCACTGGAGCTTAGACACAAGATCTTGAGGATCAAATAACCAATTCCATGAAAATGCCAGTGCAATGATCAGCAACAATCAAAAGAAAAGCAGATCAACTGACAAAAATGAGTAAGAAAGCAACAAAGGACACAAGAAACATCATTATTGCACAGAGTAAATCTATGGTTCATCCGTATTTGATTGGTATAGTAGTACTTGTAACCTCATTTAACGGGGATATAGCAAGACTGAGGAGACTTCAGTGGACCAAAGGTATAATTTACATACGAAGAACAACTGAGAAGTATAGGACTTTTCAGCCTGAAACAGAGATGATGAGATGGGGAGAAATGCCTGACAGGTCTACAAAAGCGTATACAGCATGAAGAGGGTGGACAACGATCAATGCCTCTTTGTAAGCAGGAACTAGAAAACGTTAAATCTAACTAGCAGAAGACACATTTAAAACATGCAAAAAGTGTGTTTCTTGCCAGGATAAGCAATAAACCTACCAAGGAACTGCCAAAAAGAAAGTCCTGGATATTGGGAAAAATAGATCCCTGGCTTAATCGAGTATAGCTTCTCTTGCGTCTTTAACAAGTATAAACAATAGTTATTTATCATATTTGTGTAAACCTTACCTGAATCCACTCCTGTTGTTTTGCATCGCCTTTGGTAGTTTTGGCTTCAAAATCTTTTCCACCATATTTCTGGTCTTCACTTATGCACTTCACGTGTTCCTTATAATCGTCACCCCTGAACACAGCACATTTTTAACTGTAGTTCACTAAAGTGTTCCAGTCCTTCCAACCATAAAAGACTTATGTAATCAACAAACTGAATATATTAAGGAATCAATCATTTAAACCTTAATACTGTCAAAACTTACATTAGTAAGGTTTGATGTGTTTCTCAGTACACGGTTGTAGACTGCTGACATCTCTGTCACACTACAGCCTTCAGTGGAAATTTCTGACTTGTAAAATCAGACTCGAGTCTTCAGCATACTGCTGCTTTTCTTAATGACTCTGTGACGTATGCACATCTGTACACCCCATGTCTGCACAGCTGTGAACACACCTCTGTGTTTTACTACTCACACTGATGTTTTAAAATTAGAAAAGGCGGTGGAAAATGCTTGCAGATACACCAATGTGGTGGTGTAGTTCTGATCAATGTGTAAGTGCTCCCAAAAAGAAAAGAGTAACATATCTTAACCTCCTGTCAGTGAAGTATTGAGAAATACAGTCATTATTTGAGGACAATCTTATTTTCTTATGCAAATTCATATATTTGTATACTGAAAGCAGATAGTAGCACAGCTTCCTTCTCAGAAGTAACAACCAAGTTCAGAATTGTTGACGTTATTGTCAACCTCACTGTCTCTGCAGTAGCAGAGTAAGCAGCAGCTGTTGATCAGAAGCTGCAAGCACTGTCACTTATAACTGTAAAAGAAATTGAAACTCTGTTTACAGTGTAGTTTAGCAGTCCTTACAGTTCAAACTTGGATGTTTAAGCTTAAAATGATATTAAATCATGTAATTTTTAAACACAAACATGAATTATTTAGAAATTGCCGAATTTAATTCCAACACGCCATAGGAAAACCTTGTATTTGTGAAAGGCACTGCAGAGCAGGGCTATTTCCCATCCTTTACCTACCAGAAATCCTTGCCACAATCCATGCAGGAAAGGCACTGGCAGTTTCTGCAGATGTTGACATGTTTTTCAACTTGCGCCTTCTTTACGGATTCTCCACACGCGTCGCACGTGAAAACCACCATGCTGGCGAGTGGTCAGTACCTTCTACGAGAGGGCTACGACCTTTTCCCTCCCCATGCAAGTACAGCCCTAGAAGTACATGGAGGAGATGTTACGTTTACAGCTTGCGAGAAGCACTTGGGTGGCCGAAAAGGAACAAAACCGCGCTTCCGCCCACAGCACCACAGAGCGCGCAAGGCAGGTTCAGGCGGGGACACCTCCGGAGCACCAGGGACCCCCGACCCCGCACCCCGCGCCGATACGCCTCACCGGCGGCAGCCCACGGC